AAAAAAAAAAAAAAAGATAGTCTTGCAGACTGTATGGTGGATGCCCTACTCTGTTCTAGGAAGAGGATTTCTTTTCTTCACAAGTTAAGACCTTAGGGATGCTGTTGTTAATGTTAAATTGTTAAGTGACAGAAGGTCTGTTCTGACTCATAGTGATCCTGTTACAGGGTTTCTGAGGAGCAACCTTGCAGTTCAAACAGGCCTTGTGGTCTAGTGCTTATCCTGTAGCGCCACAGCAGGATTCCAGGGGATGTTTGTTGTTGTTAAGTGCAGTCGACTTGTTTTCAGTTACTAATGTTTCCCTAAGGTATAGTCACTATTGGTTGTGGTGGTGGGTGGTGGTAATGTGCCGTGGATTCAGTTCCGACTCACAGTGATTCTATGTAGGGTTTTCAAGGGTGTAAATCTTCACGGGAGCAGAAAGCCTCACTCCTGTGGAGTGGCTGGTAGTTTCAAACTTCTAACCTTGAGGTTAGCAGCCTGACCCGTAACCGCTATGCTATTAGACCTCCTTATATTACTATTAATGTGTTAATCTTACTGTTACATAGTAAACAAATGAATGAACCTCATATATTAGGAATTCCAAAGTAATATGCTGTTTCGAACTCTGAATATCTCAAATAGTTTTCTCCTTCATGGACCTCTTAATTAGAGCACAAATTTCTGAATGTGTGTTTCTACTAGTAGCAGTGAAACTGTCAGGAGCTTGTTGCTCCAATCACTAGAAGTCTCCCAAGTGTCTGTCGTACTTTAAAAAGTGATAAGGTTTCTATTCTTTCTCTTGTACATCTAGTAAATATTATTTTTTATCTAATAGTCAGTCTTAGTGCTTGCTTGCAATAGCCCTTCATTACCAACTCTTTTCTGATTTTTCCTTTAAATATGCAGAAAGCATGGTGGGAACCCAGGTAATTTGATTTACTAGAACTTTGTGAAATTGAGAGCCAGTAGATGTCAGGTGAGAACCTTCGGGTTTGAGAGCTTCAGGATTTAAGGTTTGGACTTCAGATTTGCTTTGTTTTTGATTATTTCAGGGTTTGCAAGTATATTTTGGGGGAGATTAGTGGACAATCCACTCAGATTATGTGTAATTTCTGTACTATTTATTGAAGTAATGGAATCAGTTGGGAGTATTGAGACCGTCCTTTTTTTAGTCTATAATTTTATTTAGCGATATGCGTGATGTTATTTTTGCTTGCTATTAAAACAAAACAAACCCAGTAGTTGTCATTTACTTGATTCTGGCTCATGCCGGCCCTATGTATTTTATAAGGTTATCTTCTTTCTTAACTTTGCATTATGAATTCGGTGAACGTTTACAGAGAAGTTCATCAGTTTTTCATTCAGCAAATCATGCAGTCCATCTCAGTGATTGCAGTCCCCTCAGCAGAGCATCACTTACCTGACTTCCTCCAGCGTTTCTTGTTTCCATTCTTCCTCCTTTTCTCACCCTTCTGAGATGTGTCCTTAGGTAAATGCTGCCCTTTTGATCTCGAATGGCACACCATTTTATGGTGTATGAACCTCACTGGTGTTGTTGTCACCCCATCTACCTATCTGTTGCTTGGCTGAAAAATGCTTCATAGGATTTTCAGTGACTGATTTTTGGGAAGTAGATTACTATAGGCCTTTCTTCTGAGGTACCGCTGGGCAAACTCAGCTTTTGGTTAGCAGCCGAGTTTGTTAACCATTTAGTGGTTCTGGTTATCTCAAAGAATATTCTTACTTTATTTGGAACGAATTTGCTTGAAAAGCCCAGGATAAGTAAAAAAAAAAAAAAAATCAAACTTTTTCTTTATATTAAATATAAAATATTGCTGACACCAAATGAAATTGTTTGAATTAACAAGAGGCTGGTTTTATATTTTTTCTGGATAAATAAAAATGGATGTTTAAATTTCTAAGGACATTGTTATGTGCCCTGGGAATCAGTTCTGACTCATAGCGACCCTGCACAGGGTTTCCGAGGCTGTAAATCTTTACGGGAGCAGAAAGCCTCATCTTTCTCCCATGGAACAGCTGGTAGTTTTGAATTGCTGACCGTAAGATTAGCAGCCCGATTCGTAACCACTATGTTACCAGATTTATCTCATTACAAATATGACATTTAAATTTTCTGTATATATGGCAAGCCTAACTGTATTATTTGACACGTTTATTAAGAATCACTTCATAACTGAAAGTTCATTTGATATTTCCTGTTTTCTGTGAGCTGTGGAAGAATTAGGTTTCAGATTGCATAATATTTGCTTCCAGTATTTATTTGTAGCACATATATTCAAGTCTTCATAATTTTTTTTAACTGAAGAAAAATAGAGGTAACTGAGTAAAGAGAGTTAAGCTTAATTTGTTGTTCTATATTTCACCTAAGGAGCTCTGGTAGCGTAGTGGTTAAGAATCGGGCTGTGAACTGCAAGGTCAGCAGTTCGAAACTACCAGCTGCTCCGCGGGAGAAAGATGAGGCTTTCTGCGCCCGTAAAGATTTACAGCCTCGGAAACCCTGTACAGGGTCGCTATGGGTCGGAACCTACTCAATGGCACTTAACAACAACAACATATTTCACCTATAAAATTGATGTTTTTAAAGTTTTCTTTCTTTTGATTTGCTAATATCAAATTTTTTGAATTAAATAGAAACAAAGTTTTTTTCCAGTATGTTTGGATTCTGTTACTTTTCCTTTAGTTAAGGGCTAAAATTCGGCTAGCCTGTACGCTGTTACTTTTCTTTCTGTCAAAATTTTAGCCCATTCCTCACTTCTCAAGCTTTTAAGTTTATTGAAAGATGTTGGATAATGATTACAGGCTTTTTTTTTGTGGTATTCAGTACTTTAAATCCACCAGCTGTCTGCTCCCGTAAAGATTTACAGTCTCAGAAACACTGTACAGGGTCACTGTGAGTGGGAATCGAATCGATGGCAATGAGTGTGAGGTTTTTTTTTTTGTGAGTGCTTATGTGATTAGCCCTTAGAAGCCAAGATTTCTATTTTTCAAAGCACTGACTCTTAGTTAATTAACAATCTTTTTATGCTTGTTAAAGGAATTGAAGTGGAATTTGGTAATGTATTAAAAAAAGGTCTGTGCTTATCTTTTTTAAAGTGCACTGTTTTTCACTCTCTAAAAAATTTACATTTAATGTCATGAATATACCCTTGTTGTTAAGTGCTGCAGAGTCAGTTCCGACTCATAGCGACCCTGTGTAGCGTTTCTGAGGAGCAGCTGCTGCCTTTGAACTGCCAACCTTTCAGTTCAGACTGACCTTGTGGTAGGCGCATTCCCCTCAGTGCCACATATACAGTGCATGTGCATGAAAGTGTGTATAGGCATAACTTGTGTTATTGTGTTTGGCTTCATTGCTCTTTACACATATTGCTTTTTTTTTTTTTTTACAAATGGAAGGTTTGTAGCAACCCTGTTTCAGGCCTATAGACACCATTTTTTCCAACAGCTTGTGCTTACTTTGTTGTATCTGTGTCATATTTTGGTAATTATCAAAACATTTCAAACTTTTTCATAATTCTGTTGCATACTTATTAAACTATAGTACAGTGGAAATAAAATTTTTGTATGCACGGAAAACCAAAACATTTCTATGATTTGATTTATTATGATACTCATTTCATGTGGTGGTCTGGCACTGAGTCCACAATATCTCTGAGGTGTATGCCACAATATCTCTGAGGCATATAGTAAGTTGTAAACTTTATGAAAACATAGTATTTCTTTGATAAAGTTTAAAGTCATACAATAAACAGCATTATGAATGGTTAAATTAAGGAAAAAAACAGCTCACCCAAGCGTTCGAATTGCCTTTTGTTAGTAGACACTTATTGTATTCTCATATCAGTTTGATCTCTGTTGTATGTTAAACTAAAAGTCTTTTTTAAATTTTAGGGGGAAAAAAATAGTGGCTTCGATGTCCTCTATCATAATATGAAACATGGGCAGATATCTACAAAAGAACTAGCAGATTTTGTAAGAGAAAGGTATGTATTTTAAAAAATAATTATCTTATTTTTATTTATGATAAACTTGAATTTTAGAATTTAAATAATTGAGAAAAAATTTGGTTGCATTTAGATTAAAGTAATCAAGTAAACGTGTTAAACATATAATTCTATTTTTAAGCCTGGTTACACCTAGGAGATCTGCTCACAGTGTGGCTCAGTGTGGCACTGTTAAGCCCCTAGTTTGCAAACCACTGCTTGAAAATATTATCTACATCATTTTCATTGGTTGTTCTGGTAAGGTGACAAAACAGAAAAATGGAAGGATTTTGTAGGAAAAATGTTGTCTTCCTGCTTTAATTTTGTGAGTGTGTGAAAATACATACAATAAAACATCCATCAGTTCAACAATTTCTACATATTTAATTCAGTGTCATTTGTTACATTCTTTATGTTGTTCCACCTGGGTTGAAATCATTTTCCAAATTATTTCACCACGATTAACATCAATTCACTGCCCCATAAGCTTCTTACCGAGTCTTTAAATTTGCTGTTGTCAATTTGATCACATGTAGATAATTCTTTAAAAGAGCAAAGTTCTCAGGGTGAACATTCTGTACTAATTAAAGTAAACTACTGTTTAGATGGCTTCCCAGTATAGATTTTGTTTAATCCTTTCAAGACTGAATTTTCTTCTTGGAATTTTTTGTTAAAACCAGATGGTTTTAGTAATGGAAGGCATTTTTAATGAAATGGAAAATTATTTTTGAGGTTGTATGGATAATTTCTTTTAGGTAGATCAGCATGAGGCTGGTCCCTATGACGTCAAAGTTAAAGATAATCCCAAATGCCTGACTTGTCCAGCATGCTATGCCATTCCATAATCTTTGATATCAATCGCCAGTCTTCCCCTCCCGCACATCCCAGCGTTCTGCAGTTCACTGCAATGTCCCACAAAACTCACAACTTTCAGTGAAAATGGTGCATTCAGTTGTGGAGGCTGGAAAGTTCCAAATCCGTGCTCCACAGTCAGTCTGGAGGACTCTTCTCGTTCACATAATTTGAGGTGCTGAGGAACCCAAGTAGAGTGAATTAACAACTCATTTCAAAATGGGTCCATAATCACAGGTATTTTTTGTTGTTGTGTGCCATAAAGCCAGTTCTGACTCATAGAGACCCTGTATAGAGTTTGAACTGCTGAACTTTGGGTTCCTAGTCTAGTGCTTATCCTACAGTGCCATACCAGGGCTGAGTCATGGACATAGAATGTAGGATTTACAGTACATCACAGAATGGACCAATGTGGCTGACTGTCTATGTGCCATCGAGTCGGTTCTGATTCATAGTGACCCTGTATAGGCTTTCTAAGGCTGTAAATCTTTATAGGAGTAGGAAGCCTCATCTTTGTCCCTTTGAGCACCTGATGGATTCAAACTTTTGACCTTGCGGTTAGCAGCCCAGTGTATAACCCACTACACTCGCTACCAGGGCTCCTTACTTTAATATGATGGTTGTTGTTAAGTGCTGTTAAGTTGGTTTTCACTCATTGTAAACCTGTATAGGGTTTCTGAGGATATAATTTTTTTTTTTTCTTAAATGTTTTATTGTGAATTATGTGATAGTTTACATGAGAGAACGTTAGGTTTACATTCATTCTGTCGTATAGCATCTCATTGCCATGGTTACAATCCCCTCCATGCATCATCAACCAACCAAAGAGTATACCCTGCAATCCTTCCCCCATACCCCCCAGGTCTTCAGCACACAGTCGCTCTCCGTCTCTGGATCTAAAGTCTCCAGCTGCTCCATTGCTCCACGTCATCATCTCTG